CTACACCCACCTACCTCACTCCTGTCCCCCAGCCAGACACTTGTCTTGAGGGCCCAGGATGCTCATGTCCTGAGGGGTGGAGACCACACAGGGCAAGTAGCAGAAGGGTCATTAACAGCGAGAGGCACAGCAAGGAGAAAGTTAGCCGTGCTGCAAGCTGAGGACCAGCAGCTGGCAGAATAGTTAAGTCGCTGGACTCCTACGTAGTTGATCCCGGTTCAAGTCCCTTAAAACTCACACTGGACGTGTGTGCATGCATGCACAAAATCCTGAGAGGAGAAGGGAGGAGGAGGGATTGTGGTGTGGCCATCCTCCCGGGGTGGGGGTGACTTCTCACTTTCTGTCTCTGGTGAGCACATGTGCCCTATAGCAAAAATCTCTATTAAAAAAAAAAAATGCGACAGGGCACATCTTGGGAGAACACAAACACAGACAGATGCGAAACATGTGGGGAGCTGCCTGTGGTGGTAGTGGGGACAGGAAAGAGACTGATGGCAGGACAGGTGGATGACGAGAAAGCAGCCCTGCTGCATCTGTAGGGTGGTGGGTCCCGAAGGCATTGCTGCTGCACCACCCTGCTCTGGTTATACAACCGTTTCCTTGGACCCTCCAAGCTAACAGTTGTTCCTTTTTAATCTGCGCTATTTCAAGCATGAATCCTATTACTCATAAACTAATTTAATAGCCAGGCTTGCTCACAGGTCCCAGTCCCACCTGGCCATGGGAGCCTGAAAGTTGGATGTCTACACCCCCAGCCTCTTGGGGAGCCTGGTGGGGCAAGTGCTGACTGCCGACGCAGGGGTGCCGAGGGGCAGCCTCACCTAGTCCAGCCACGCTGCTGTGGTTCTCCAGCATCACCTCCCGGTACAGGGCCCTCTGGCCAGGGTCCAGACACTGCCACTCTTCCCGGGAGAAGTGCACAGCCACATCACCAAATGTCACCGCCTCCTGAAAGAACACACACCAGCACCCCAGGATCCTTGGGTGCCAGCCCCATTCTGGCACTGCCTCAGCCAGTGTCCATGGGACTGGGCACCTCTGGCTGTGACGTTGTGAGGTGGGTAACTCAGTGGAAGGACAGGGGCCCAGACAGTGATTTTAAAACCCACCCATAAGAGCCTCAGTCAGGCCCTGGTCTGGGCAAGAGTTTGCTCAATACCTTGGGGATGAGAGCAAAGGGGCCTTCCTGAGCCTGACAAGGACCAGTGAGGCCAAGAGAGGGTCCGAGTCCAGGCCAGTGGGCAGGGCAGATGTCAAGAGGAGGTAGAGGCTTCACAGAGCTAGTGAAAGAACAGAGCAGTCAGGCTTCCTACCATGAGGCTGCGTGGCTGGGCATCCACACGTCCTGGCTGAGTAACCTGCTGGCAATTAGGAAGTGGTCAAAGGCGGAGGCTGGAACTCCCAACTTCCAGGCTGGCAAGGGGGTAATGTGTTTCCTGCTCCTTTTCCTCCAACCCAGGCGTTCTCTAGCTGGGAGATGGGCTGAGCTGAAGCAGCGTGGCTCCTGACTGCGTATGCAGCGCATGTGACACGCATGAGTGGCACCCACAGGCCGGCGCTGGCGTTCAGCTTGTGACCGGAACGCAACTGCGAGCACACACGGCTCTGCCTCCCTGAGCTGCAGTGGGGAGTGACAGGGACACAAGGTCACCACCACGGTAGTGCTGGAGTACAAACCGTGAAAACGCTCAGACTAGAAAACCTTGTCTTAGTCTGCTGGGTCACTTCCCCTGGGACCCGGCCAAGGCGACTGAGGTGGGGACGGTACTCCGGCAAGAGTGGCACGTGCAAACGGCGAGGCAGGAAGGAGTGGGACGGAACGAGCCAGTGGTGAACCTCAGCGGCGGGGGGGGGGGGGGGGGG